TCACCACCACCACCACCACCACCCCCCACCCTCCGACAAGGAGCGCTATGCCCAGGAGCGGCCTGACCACGGCCGGGCCCGGGCCCGGGACCAGCGCTGGTCCCGCTCGCCCAGCGAGGGCCGAGAACACATGGCGCACAGGCAGGTGGGTGTGGCACCGGGTGCCCCTAACCCGAGCCCCCGGGAGACCGGTGCGGGGGGGGGCGGGGGGGGGGGGGTTGGGGGGAGCACACAAGATAGCCACGCTAGGTAGGGTCCTCCCTCCCCACTGTGACCTCTGCCTCTGCCCACCATTGGGGTCCCCAAGCCCCCGGAGGGAGCCGGGCAGGAGTAGGCACTGCCCCCAGCCACTCTGGCTCCCCACTCTGCCCCCCCCAGCCCCCCTGCCCGCCTGCCGCCCCCTCCCCCGCAGCTGCTTCCTCTTTGGTTGTGGATCACGTTTGAGTTTCTGGCCAGCGCGGTCCTTACGGCTCATGCCCCCCGCTGGCTGCCTGCTGCCTTTTGCTTTCCTTTAACCCAGCTTCCGTTTTTGTTTCGATTATGATTTCTGTCCTCTGGACGCCTGTGAGTAATTTTTGAAACTTCTGCTATTTAACCCCGAAACTTACAAAACTCCATTTCTCATTTCTCTTTTCACTTTGTTGTGTTGGTTTTCGATTTACCCTCCCTCCTTGTCTCTCACTCCTCCTCCCCCTCCAACCCCTCCTCCCCCCCCCCCCCCTCCCCTGTCCCCTTTGGTTTTCCTTTGCCCCCTCCCTCTCTCCCTCCCGTCCTCTGTGTCTCCTCCGTCTCCTTCTGGTTGATTTTGTTGTATCTTTTTTTTTGATTTCCTTTGTTTCAATTTTCGTGTAGGGCAGTAGTTCCGTAAGTGGAAGCCCAGCCCCCTCAACATCTGGTACCAGCACTCCGCGGCGGGGGCGCCGCCAGCTCCCCCAGACCCCCTCCACCCCCCGGCCACACGTGTCCTATTCCCCCGTGATCCGTAAGGCCGGCGGCTCGGGGCCCCCGCAGCAGCAGCAGCAGCAGCAGCAGCAGCAGCAGCAGCCGGCGGCGCGGCCGGGCCGGGCGGCCCCCAGCGGCCCGCGGAGGTACCCGGGCCCCGCGGCCGAGCCTCTGGCCGGGGAGCGGCCGCCCGTGGGCGGCCACGGCAGCAGCCGCTCGCCCGCGATGGAGCGGCGGGTCCCGGGCCCGGCCCGGAGCGAGTCCCCCAGGGCGTGTCGCCACGGCGGGGCGCGGTGGCCGGCGTCCGGCGCGCACGCGTCCGAGGGGCCCCCGGGGCCCCGGCACCACGGTTACTACCGGGGCTCCGACTATGACGAGGCCGACGGCCCGGGCGGCGGTGGCGGGGAGGAGCCCCGGGCCGCGGCTTACGACGCGCCACCCCCTGCGCGACACGCGTGCTCGCCCAGGACTCCCCGGGCCCCGGGCCCGGCCTGCGCTTCGCCTTCCCGGCACGGCCGGCGACTCCCCAACGGCTACTACCTGGCCCACGGACTGGCCAGGCCCCGCGGGCCAGGCTCCCGGAAAGGCCTGCACGAAGCCTACAGCGAGACCGACGACGACGACTGGTGCTAAGCCCGGGCGAGGTGGCACCCGCGCCCGCCCGGCCCCCCCACGCACCCCACGCACACGCCCCACGGGGAGGAGCCGCGCCCAGGCCGCGGGGCCACCTCGCTGCCACCTGCCCAGCACACGGGGGAGGCCCGGGAGGGCCCAGGAGAGGACCTGCCGGACGACCCCGGACTCTGGAGGGAGTCCCCAGGACCCGGACACTGCCAGGGTGTCCCGCAAAGACCCTCGGCCGGAAAAGCCGCTCCTGGGCAGTGATGCGCACCCCACCCAACCCCGACCCTACCCCCCACCACCACGGGGGCCCTCGGGGGGCAGACAAACCACACAGCCAAGGGATTCGAATTAACTCAGCCATTTTTGGAGAACCTTGGGGAAAATGGAAATTAAAAAAAAAAAAAACATTTTTAAAAGAAAAACGGGGAGAAAAACAATCGCTTCTATTGATGAGTTTTATCATCTCAATCGAATCTTTCCTTTCCCTGATGAACGCGAGCTGGTGGCCCGTGTGTGGCAGAGAAGCCGGAAGTGAAGCCGAAACCCAGCGTCCCACACAGACCTCCACCAGACACTCATACCCCACACACGTTCTCAGACACACACAGGAGTGCTTGCTGGTTATACCAAACCCTACTATTACTGCCTGCAGAAATCAATTAAAAAAAAAAACAATTTTAAAAAGGACAAAAAAATTAATGATTGAGAAAAGAAGCATTTTTTCTGACATTTGGTCCTGCTTGAAATAACAAAAGAAAAAAAAAAACCACCACCACCACCGATTTCCTTTGCTTCTTTTTTCCTTTTTCCTACCTTGTTTGAAAACTGTGGGCTTGGGACTGTGAATTACTGCATGACATTCAAAAAGAAAAAAAATAAAAAAGTTGAATCAAAGGGCTTTTGATTAGACTGGTCTTTATCCCTCTGCAAAATGCTCCCAGGGTCTCTTTGGCGGAATAGTGGAAGGAGGCCCTTTGAAAGTGTTTGAAAGTAGCCAAGGAAGCTGGGAGTCTCCAATCATCCAATCTTTGTGATGCCTGGGTGTTGCTCCAGAGTCAGCAAAGAACAAGGCAGACCAGCTCTGTTCCTCACCTCACTTAGCGCAAGAGCTCTAGAAATCCTGGCTACCTTAACAAGCCCAGGAAAGCCAAGGCCAAAGATGTTGCCCAGGTCCTTGCCAGCTGTCCTGGCTGGAAGGCAGAGCAGTGTCCCCCACTGCCACCCCATGCCTCCACCCTCAGGCACCCAAGGTCTCCCACCATCTGCCTGCCAAGCAGGTTCACCATTCTGGAAGATCAACCATCCTGCATGACCATCCTGCTCGACTGGGCCAGTGGGACCCCAGGGAGCACCTGTGAGGCCCCAAACATTAGCAGAACTCCTATTGGAAACACCCTGGCAGTGGGGAGTCCTAGACGTCAAAGGTCAGAGCAGCCCACCCATGGAAGGCAGGGGATGGTCAGGGCCAGCTCAAGATGCAGGGTACAGGTGGAGGTGGGGTTCTTACAAAAGGGACTGACAGCCTTCCCTCCCTCCCCCTTCCAACCCACCCTGCACCTGCCTGCACACTCCCACTCCAGACGTAAGGAAGCTGGCCCCACAGTTGAACACGGTAGAAGTCTCCCACCCTGCCGCCTGTCCCCAGGGCCTCACCTCCCTGCCTATTCTGTGAATGCTTCCGTGAATATGGGCAAGAGCTACAAAACTGTAGACAGTGAGATCAGGAGGTCAGCGGGCTGTGTTGATTCAAGTGAGCAAAAGACCAGTTATAACCCCTTCTTCAAGTTGAGCTAAGAGGCCTTTCTTTGGTCTGAAAGAGCAGCCCCTGGTTCTCCCTAGAAAGGGCTTCAGAGAATTCCACAAAATCTATAGACGCAGAGAGGGGGATGGTCCTCAGGGAACATCAGGGTAGCTGAAGAAGGAAAATCAGAGGCCAGGCAGCGGGAGACTAACCACAGACATCTACCACACCCCAACTTTTGGGTCAGTCATTGGACCCTGAGGAGCTTGGCACCACCATCCTCCCTAGAACCATTGCCAACTCAGCTCCAGCCTCACTGGCTGTGTGACCTTAGGAAAGTGACTTAACCTCTCTGTGCCTCTGTTCTTCCATCTGTAAAATAGAAATAATAATAATAACACTATTTATGAAAATTAAATGCATTATTCTACATCAGCTGCCAGCAAACTTTGCCTTAAAGGATCAGAGAGTAATAGTTTCAGCTTTGTGACCCAGACAGTCTCTGTTGCAACTCTTCACCTCTGCCCTTGTACCAGGAAAGCAGCCAAAAGTAACATGTTAACAAGTGAATGTGGCTGTGTTCCAATAAAACTTTATTTGTAAACACAGGCAGTGGGCCAGATTGGGCCCTTGTCCTACATCAGTGGTTCCCAAACTTTCTGGTGTCAGCACCTCTTTACATTCTTTTTCTTTTTTTAAAGATTTTATTTATTTATTTGAGAGAGAGAGAGCAGAGGGAGAGGGCAAGCGAACTGACTCCACGCTGAGCTTGAAGCCCGTCACGGGGCTGGGGCCCACAACTCTGAGATCATGACATGAACTGAAATCAAGAGTCTGATGCTTAACCAACTGAGCCACCCAGGCACCCCCCCCCTTTACATTCTTAAAAAAATTATTGAGAACCCCAAAGCACATCTACTTATGTGGGCTATATTTACTGATATTTACCATTTAGGAATTAAAACTGAGAATTTCTTAAACTACATAGTTTTTAAATCACAATCAATAATAAACCTACTAATAGTAAAAAAAAATAAAATACAATAAACCTAATAGTAATATTTTTAATGAAAAATAACCACATTTTCAAGAAAAAAAAATCCAGGAAAAGAGAGACTTTGTTTTACATTTTTGTATCTCATTCATGTCAGCTTACAGAAGACAGCTAGATTCTCACATCTGCTTCTGCATTCACCTTGCTGCAATATCCGATACCTTCTGGAAGCTCGACCACACACATGGGAGAGAATGAAAGTATTAAAGGCACAGGACATCTTAATAGTATGATAAAAATAGTTGGCCTTATAGACTTCCTGGAATGATCTCAACAGCCCCCAGGGGCCTGGACCCCTTTGAGAACTGCTGTTCTCAGAACCTCACCTGTCCCAGAGTGAGCAATTATCCACCACTGACATTATTACCCCAGCACCAAAGCAGAAAGTTTGACAGGTCTTGCTCCAGACCCCAACCCTTGAACTTACCTTGGGCAAAGAAGGCTGAGAGACTCCAAATGGCAAGGCGGCAGAGCTCCTTCTATAATCATGACATCTAGGAAGTGACCAGTCCAGCAAAAAGCTAAATAGAGGGTTTTGACTTCCTACCCAGGCAGTTTAGCCAATCACAAGCCCCGCAGACATCTAGACCAGCTGCCTGACCAAGGCAGGGCTGGCCTCTGGCAGAGGTCCACCTTTCATGGTGCTGAAGCTATTCAGGAGCACGTGGGCCCATCTGGAGCCAGGGAAGCCACAGCCATCTGTCCATGAGGGAACAAGGCCCATTGTCAGAGCCCCCTACAACCCCTAGACCCAAAGGCCAAACCTGTGGCTGAGTGCCAGGAAGCTGGACCCCAGGCCTCCACCACCCACACCTTTAGGCTGCAGCAGGTGTAAACTGCCCAGGAGACTCAGAGTGAGGGAATCAGGAGAGGAAAAGGCAGGGGGTGGCTTGCCTTAAGCCCTGGTCTCACAACCCTTCCTCACATCCCTGGCCTTAGCCACAACATCTGGAAGGCTGAGGAAAGGGCAAGGAAGTGGAGACTCTGGACACCAGGCCTGCCATGCAAATGCCCTGGGCAGCTCCCTTCCTGAGATAAATAGTCTGAGAGACCCAGGTTTATGACACATGTGTCCTCAGGGCTTCAGGGAACTGCTTCCCTGTAATCCACAGCCTCCAGTCGCTATCTCTCTCAGCCTCAATGTTCTGTCTGTGAAATGGGGATGTACCACTGTGTCAGGAGGCAAAACATTTCCTCTACCCTCTTAGATTCTGTGACTGGGGCCTGTGAATTAAACTAATGCACAACAGATTAATAGGGGGGAAAAGGCACACAATTTTTACTAATGTCTACATGCATAGAAAGGCAGGGAACTTCAAAGAAGTGATTAGACCCAGGGATTTATATACCATTTTAACAAAGAAAAGGGGGTTTGGGCTTCCAGGGATGATAAATCGTGGAAAAATGACCAGGAAATGTCTGGTGGAAACGAATGGAAGATAAGGGTTCTTTTCATAATGTCTGTTGATGATACAGACTCATCTTGGTGCCTCTCCGTCTTCAGTGATGACTCACTCTTCTCTTCCTGATATAGGAGAAAACGGAACACCTTCAAAAAGGGAAATTTATGTCACCTTCTTAAAAGGAAATGTATGCCCTGCTTTTAGGTAGAAAAGGGGAGGACGGGGGCACCTGGGTGGCTGAGTCCTTAAGCGCCTGCCTTCGGCTCGGGTCATGGTCCCAGGGTCCGGGGATCGAGCCCCGAGTCTGCTTGTCCCTCTCCCTCTGCTGTCCACCCCCACTCGTGCCCTCTCTGTCTCTCTTTCAAATAAATAAATAAAATCTTTAAAAAAAAAAAAAGTGGGGGGGGGGGACAGAGACCTCTTCTGCATCTCACTTGCCTTCAGCTCAAAATAATCCTTTTGCTAAAGTGGCAGGTTTGGGGGTGGCACATCTGACCCCCTGCAGCTGCCGTCAAAGGACTGGCAGGGTGTGGATGGGTGACAGTGCTTGGCTCGAAGACTTGTGGGAAAGCCAGATCCATGTGTGGGCGCCAACCAGAGCACCCCAATACGGGAACTACTGGCTGCTCAGGAACTCTGCACAGCACTGAGATGAAGGCCTGATTTTAGGAAAGCAACCAGAATGAGAAGGACACGGACAAGACACTCGGCCAGGAGGCTGCGCATTTGAAAAGCCTCACCAACACAGCGAACCAGGTATCTCACAGAGACCGGAGCTTAGAGTGATAAAACATATAACTAATAAAAAGCAAAAGGAAAACAGACGGCTTGAAAAAATTTAAGGAAATAGTAGCAATATTGCTCTCCTAGGACCGACGTAACAAGTTACCAGACTGAATGGCTTAAAACAACAGAAATTTATTGTCTTACAACTCAGGAGGCAAGAAGTTCTGCAATCAGGGTACTGACAGAGCTGGCTCCCAGATAAAGCCTCTGAAGGAGAATCTGTCCACAGCTTTCATCTAGCTTCTGGTGGTTGCTGGCAATCCTTCGGCGTTCCTTGGCTCGTGGCTGTGTCACCACAATCTCTGCCTCTGTCTTCACCTGGCCCTGGCCCTGTGTCTCTGTGTGTCCTCTTCTGTCTCTTATGAGGACACTTCCACTGAATTTATCACTGCCCCCCGCATCCAGTATCATCTCATCTCTGTCCTTACCTTAATTACATCTGCAAAGATCCTATTTCCAAATAAGGTCCCTGTGGTTTAATAAGAAATACATTTGGGGACTCCTGGGTGGCTCAGTTGGTTAAACATCTGTCTTCGGCTCAGGTCATGATCCCAGGGTCCTGGAATCAAGTCCCACATCAGGTTCCTTCCTTGGTGAGGAGCCTGCTTCTCCCTCTGCCTGCCACTCCCCCTGCTTGTGCTCGCTCTCTCTCTCTCTCTGACAAATAAATAAATAAAATCTTTAAAAAAGACGTAAATAAATGTATTTGGTCTTTGTCCCAAGTTCCAGGTACAGAGCTCCTAAAACCCTTGGAATTTCCTAAGTCATAGGAGTGTCTTCTATCATTTATAAGGGCCCCTCCCTTTTTAAAAAGATTTTATTTTTAAGTCACCTCTACACCCAACGTGGCGCTCAAACTCACAATCCTGAGACCAAGAATCACATGCTCCACTGACTGAGCCAGCCAGGCGCCCCCATAAGGAGCCCCTTTAGATCACACCTGAGTTTATGTTAATGAGATGACTTAGAGTGGGCCCCGTAGGTAGCTTCAGGATGGGGCTGGTCACCAGACAGACCAAGTCATTAGAGGGGGGAGCTTTCAGACCCACCCCCACCTCCGTCGCCCTCTGTGTGTCCTACAGGAGCTGACTTCACCCTGAGCCTGTGTCTCAGGAACACAATTACTGTGATGAGGAGTCACCCATACACTTGCCAATGTTGACCATTGCTATGGACTGAATTTTTGTGTCCCCCCAAAATTCATATGTTACCATCTCATTCCCAGTGTGGTGGTGTTTGGAGGCGGGGCCTTTGGGAGGTGATTAGGTGATGAGAGTGGAGCCCCCATGAATGGGATTAATGCCCTTATAAAAAAGACCTGGGAGTGCTCTCACCCCTTCCAGAACATGAGGACACATCGAGAAGGTGGTGTCTATGAATCAGGAGGGAGGCAAGCGGACCCCGCCAGACACCAAATCTGCTGGTGCCTTAATCTTGGACTTCCAGCCTCCAGAACTGTGAGCAATAACTCTCTGTTATTTATAAGCCACCCGGTCTCCGGGATTCTGTTACAGCAGCCTGAATGGACTCAGAGGGCTGAACACCTGCTGAGGGCCCGGTGGATATCGTTGCGGAGGTGAGGGGACAAGGACTGATGGCCGGAGGAGCGTCTTCAGAGGGGGTGGACACGGAACTGCTCTCATTCCACCCCTGCCCTGGATCTGCCATGACAGCCCCATCTGCTAAACGTGACACCCACGTTCCATCTGGTCTCCTGTCCCTGCCTGGAATAGCAGACCGAGCCCCTCTGCAGTCTTCCCAGTGTGCCCACCACCTCGGGCCCCGAGAGCTTCCCAGAGCTCCAGGCTCCCCCCAGCCTCCCACACAGTTCTGCCCAGGCCCAGCCCCCCCTTCCCACCATCCCCCCACCCACCCTGCTCCAGCCCTTAAACAGGAGAAAGGCCTCACCATGCACAACATATCCTCCAAGACTATGTTTCCTCTGTAGAAAATGAGCTGGAGAGGGGCATCTGGGTGGTTCAATCGGTTAAGCATCTGCCTTCGGCTCAGGTCATGATCCCAGAGTCCTGGGATCCAGCCCCTCATCTGGCTCCCTGCTCAGAGGGGAGCCTGCTTCTCCTTCTCCCTCTGCCGGCAGTTCCCCTTGCTTGTGCTCTCTCTCTCTGTCAAATGCATAAGTAAAATCTTTAAAATAAATAAGTAGGTAAATAAATAAGTAAAAGCACCCAGATGCCTTCTTCTCCAAAAAATGCTTCCTGAGCCCCACATTTCCCTGTAGGATCAAAGACCACATTGTAATAATTAGCCCCCCAGAACCGAGGCCTGGGCCTTGTTCAAGGTGGTGTCCCCATCTCCAGCCCCAGCTCCTGGCCCCCAAGGAGGCCCAGGGGAGCGTTTGGTGGAGCTAAGTTTGCACCCGCAGGACGGGTAAAGGTACACCAGATAGTCAGCGCCACCTAGGGGCCAGAGAGCGAATCGCTAAGGCGTGATGGGGGTAACTGATCAGGGAACTTAGGGGTGAAGCCAGGAGTAGAGGTACTGGATTGGGAGTGAGGGGCTTAAGAGTACCCCTACTCCCAGCTCCAGAGACAGAAGCTGGACCAGTGGGGGACATCACAGATGTAGATGCCCGGTCGCTCTATGGGAAGAATTTCTTCTTTTTTTTTTTTTTTAAGATTTTATTTATTTATTTGACAGAGAGAGAGAGCGAGAGAGGGAACACAAGCAGGGGGAGTGGCAGAGGGAGACTCAGGCTTCCCGCCAAGCAGGGAGCCCGATGCGGGGCTTGATCCCAGGATGCTGAGATCATGATCTGAGCCGAAGGCAGACGCTTAACCACTGAGCCACCCAGGTGCCCCTTATTATTTATTTATTTGAGAGAGAGAAGGAGAGAGAGAGAGAGAGAGAGAGCACAAGCAGGGGGAGAAGCAGAGGGAGAGGGAGAAGCAGCCTCACCGCCAAGCGGGGAGCCCCACGTGGGGCTCGATCCCGGGACCCTGAGATCATGACCTGAGCCGAAGGCAGATGCTTAACCTACTGAGTCACCCAGGTGCCCCTGGGAAGAACATTCTAACAACTACTCAGAACAGAGCAGATGGCTCAGAAAATACAAGCATTCAGGAGCCAGAGAGGCTGGCTGGAGCTGGAGGCCCTGTGGGTCTCCTTGTTTCTGCCTCCACTTTCTCAGGAAGAGCCCAGGGGAGGCAGGGAGGGCAGGAGAGGAGCTCCGGGGGCACAGTGTGAGAAGGGGCTGGCTAAGAGGAAAAGTTGAGGAAGACACCTGCAGATCAGAAAACTAAGAGCCAGAAACGTTCAATCACTTGTCCAAGATCTTGCCCAAGGTCACATAGCGGGGGAAAAGGGTAAACCTTAAAAACGTACCCAGCTGGTTTCCCTCCAGTCCTCCCTGTTTCCTCCCATGGGGTGATGCCACGCCCCTCCTGCCTGGAACCTAGTGACCTCTTGCCCTGTGCATCATGCCGTGATCCCTTTTCTGGTTCTCTTGTCCTCTCATCCTAAGCCACTCCCAAGTGCTGCCTCCCTGCCACCAGGACCACTGGGCGTGCAAACCACTAAGCGACCAACCAGGAACAACAGTCTCCAGGTCTTTGAACTCCAGGTGGCCAAAAGTCCAAGGTGGCTCAAGCTTTGCACCAATCTCTATCCAGCACTCTTCCCCACCGGCCAGGGACAGTGAGGTCCGGCTGCCTCAGGAACAGGAAACAATCAAAAGTCCCCTGGCAGGGGCGCTTGGATGGCTCAATTGGTTAAGCGTCTGCCTTCAGCTCAGGTCATGATCCCAGGGTCTTGGGATCCAGCCCCGTCTTGGGCTCCCTGCTCAGTGGGGAGCCTGCTTCTCCCTCTCCCTCTGCCTGCCACTTTCTCTCTCTCTGTCAAATAAATAAATAAAATCTTTAAAAAAAAAAAGGAAGTGTTCAATTCCATGGCACTTAGTACATTCACAATATTATGCAACCTATCACCTCTGTCTAGTTTTGAAATCAACCCTGTCTCCGTGGGCAGTCACTCCCCATCCCCCTCTCTCAGTCTCTGGCAACCACCAATCTAGTTTCTATCTCTATGCAACTGCTTATTCTGGGCATTTCATATGGATGGGATCATACAATATGTGACTTTTTAGTCTAGCTTTTTTCACTGAGCATAATGTCTTCGAGGCACACCCACGTTGTGGCATGTATCAGGACTCCATTCCTTTTTATGGCTGAAGAATATTCCATAGTAGGGATCCACCACATTTTGTGTATGTGTTCATCTGTTGATGGACATCTGGGATGCTTCTACCTTTCAGCTGTTGTGAACCTTGCTGCTGTGTCCAAATATTTATCTGAACACCTATTTTCAATTATTTTGGGTACATACCTAGGAGTGGAATTTCTGGGTACTAGGATAGCTGTTTGTTTAGCTTTTGGAGGATGGTGAAATTATTTGAAATAATACATTCATTTCATGCAACAAATCCAAAATAGAACTATTTCAACATGTAACCAATATAAATAGTATTACGATCTTTTACATTTTTTTCCTAGTAAGTTTTTAAAACCCAACCTGTGTGTTTTGCTCAGAGCACATCTTGATTTGGACCAGCCACGCTTCAGCCGTGCTCAAGAGCCACATGTGGCCCATGGTGACTGTCCTGGACAGCACAGGTGTATTCTCACACTCCTGGAATCGTTCTTGAGCTCTGTTGTGCCCGGGTGCTTACCCCCTCCACTGCCCGTGAGTGGCCGGTGCAGGATCCCACCTATCTGTGGGCTTGGCGCTGAGCTAAATCGGTGATGCCTACATAGCTGGGGGTGGGGGTGGGGTGGGGGGCAGACTGTCCTCCAATCCCTGTTCTGCTGCATCTAGCCCCCCCCACACACACACACACGTCCTGCTATGAATGTGTCCCCACCCCACCCCTGATTCATATGTTGACGCCCTAACCCCCAAGGTGACAGTATTATGCGGTGGGGACTTTGGGAGGTGATTAGGTCATGAGGGAGAGCCCTTGTGAACAGGAGCCAGGCCCTCATAAAGGAGACCCCAGAGAGCTCCCTCGGCCCTTCTGCCTGGTGAGGACACCGTGAGAAAATGCTATCTATGAACCCAGGAGAGCGCTCTCACTGGATACCGCCGTCACCTGCCGGCTCCTTGATCTTGGACTTCCAGCCTCCCGAACTGTGCGAAATCAGTATCTGTTGTTTAGCAGTTCCTCGGTCTGTGGTGTTTTGTTATAGCAGCTGGAGCTGATGAAGGTACATCCCAACCTGGGAC